CCTGCATTTGAGTTAAACAGATGTTCAAAAAAGTTTTTCTTCAGCTTTTGGAAAAGGTGAAAATTGCATTGTGCCAAGTTTTAACTCTATGGCAGAGTTTTAACTGTATGCCAAGTTTTAACTGTATGGCAGATGGAAGAAGATGATGAGATCCAATTTTGTAATTGTCATTTGGCTAGCCTGAAAAGTGTGAGACCAGGATTTAGCACATTACAACAAATTTTTCCTTTTTTGTGCTTCTGAACTCTGCTTAATCATTGTTCCAAACTTTTGAATATTTTAATATAGCACTTTGAGTTGATAACAGTAGGATTCAGGGAAATCCAGATGAATAGCAACTTCTGATTCCAAAAATCTGGGACAATATTCCTCTGAATGATCTGATTGTCTTTAATTTCTCAACCCTTCTCATGTGAAACTTAACATCTGCTATCATAGGTAGTTCATTTCTTGATTACTCAAATAAACTTTCCCCGCTTACCATTTTTATATTTATCAGCCTAGCTGTGCACAGTACTCACATCAACACAATCATAACCATAAACAACCTGCATTCAGGCTGAACACGAGGAATTTCAGTTGGAGGAACTCTTTTGACATGCAAAAATTCAACCACTACATGTTGCTTAAAGGGCTGGATGCACTGTATTTCATTCATCAACAGCAATACAATCTTTTCTCACAGTAACTTCATACCAACTGAAATGAAAGAACAGATACTGAAGAATGCGTCATAGTTTCTAGCATATCAGTACTGCAATCTGTTGGTGACATGAGATTGAAAATATTGTTTAATATTCACTCTACATATGGACATATACACACACTTGTGTACAAATTGTACAAACACACATGTATTAATTAAAAATTTATATATATTTAAAATGTGTATTTATAAGCTTAGTTATATGAGCATTCATTAAGGTATTCTTTGACTTACAACTGGTCATTTAGCCACTGTTTGAAGTTAAGTACCCCGAAGGTACTAATGACCCAGTTGAGACAGGCGCCCACAATCTCATAACTGCATTTTGGGCCCTTGGCAACCAGCCCACATTTATGGCTGTTTTCAGCATTCTATTGTCACTATAATGTTTTGCCAAAACCTGGCATTTACTTTTGGTTTTCAGCAAAAATGCTCTAGAGAGAACTTACTGCTAGGGACGTATATCTAAAGAGCGGATTATAGATTCTTTTGCAATAAATATGTTTCAATGAACTTCTTATATTCTAGCTTGCCTTTTCTCTTTCCTTACATTTTACATTTATCTCTAATCTTTTTAATAAAAAGTCAGGGAGATTTGTTTGACTCAGCATCCACTGTTCCAAATAAAATGAAGTCAGTATATACACATTGTTCTTTTTTTTAAAGAAAAACAGCCAATGTTTTTTCCTGTTACCAGGAATTTTGTGTAATATAGGCAAGCCAAGAGAAAGACAGGTGAACTCTGTAGTTTCTTTCAGATCTGGTCTTTTTAAGTATATGTTTGTTTTTCTGGGAGTTAAGAAATGAGTTCATCAAGTGCTTTTAAAAATAATATTTTTAATGATCAAGAAGACCGTGGCATAAATATAGTGGGGATTAGAAGAAACACATTTCGTTAAAGGAAGGAACAAAGTATCAGCCTGTCCTTCCTAACTTCCTTCCACAAATTAAAGAATGAACCCAATGTTATTTCCTCCTATTAGTTTTGTACATTGAATTCATTTCTGCTAGAGCCCATTTACTAAATTAAAGATATTTATTTTACAAGATTTTTTATTCTGTTTTGTAAGATTATTTATTTTGTCCATTTTTGTGCATCTCTATATAGACTTGACACACATACTGTTTCTACTTCGTTTTGTACGTGCTCTGTGTGTGTACCTGGTCTCGTGTCTGTCTGACCTACAGTAGGCAATAAAATTTGTTTTATCTAATGTTATGCAAACAGAATGAATTAGTTTATAAGCAAGGACATGGGGGCTTTCTGATAGCTTCTGTTATAATTTATATTTTCTTTTTTTATTGTCTTTATTCATCAGTATTTTAAGGCTGCCTGATTACTCAACAGTTACAAATAAATATGCAAAGAAACAATTGTATAAAAAAGGATACAGCTGACCAGAATCTAGAACAAAACTAAAGTAACTAAAAGGGCTACACAACCAGGGGTGGGTTTTAAATTTTTTAGCAATGGGTTCTTTGTCCAGTTGCTGGGTGGGCGTGGCCTAGTTGGCCTCCTGCACCACGGTGGAGGGGGCATTTGTGCCCTCCCTGGGCTCTGGAGACTTTCCTGAGTAGGAGATATAGAAGTATAGCCAGCTGCACCAGGCTGAAAAACAGTTTCCACAGTTTGGGAATGATGGCCCTTTTATGATTTGTGGACTTTAACTCCCAGAATTGGCAGATTCAGGAATTCTGGGAATTGAAGTCTACAATTGTTCCCCACCTCTTGTTTAAAGGATCCAGAAGGCCCAGAAAGATCCAATATAATCTGATACCCCTAACCACAGATAGCAATAGCACTTAGACTTATATACCGATTCACAGTGCTTTACAGCCCTCTGTGAGCGGTTTTCAGAGTCAGCATATTGCCCACAACAATCGGAATGCTCATTTTACTGACCTCAGAAGAATAGAAGGCTGAGTCAATCTTGAGTTGGTCATAATCAAACTGCCGAACTGCTGGAAGTCAACAGTCAGCAGAAGTAGCCTGCAGTTCTGCATTGTAACCACTGCACCACCGCTAGTATGTATGTCTGTGTCACAAAGGGAAGCTTCAGTTGGATACTATCATTCTTTGAAACAATTCTAAAATAGCAACTAACACTTCTCCCTTCCCCCTGCCCCATTCTTGTGATGTGCTCACCTTTGAGAAACTGTCAATCCTTTTACTGCTCATTTTTGTGATATGCTGTATGCTGCTCTTTTTGCCTAAATCTAATTTAAATGCTTTCAACTGCAGTTATGTCAAGAATTGCTTTGAAGTTCTCTGTAGGAAAAATCTGCTATTGCAACCTTCAATTCAGAATAGAACTGGAAGAGACCTTGGAGTTATTCTAGTCCAACCACCTGTTTTAGAACCTTCTAATAAAATGCATATAAACTATGGCCATTATTCCAATAGCAAATAATTGATTGATTTTCTACTTCAGGATTTTAAGGCAATAAAAGATAATATATGCTTATAAGTGTTCCCAGGTAGTGGCAAATGGCTAGTTCATATTAAGTGTATCTATAAACATTTGCAAAGGCATTTATACTTTGCTATACAAGTTTTATGCAAGATAGGAACAGAGTACAAAGCCTCTTCTTTTTGAAAATATTTGCTCTGCAAGAAATATACAATATAGTATAAAGAAGAGCTGTACTCGACATCATTTTTCAGATGTGTAGAAACTATAGATTGAAATAGAGATTTCATTGTGTCATTGCTAGCATTAATAAATAATTTTAAATAAAATATTAAATGAACAGTGCAGATAAATTATTTTGAAGATATTGTTGGTCAAGAGTGATTTATAAAACCATAAATCTTTCTAAAATGGAACACTATGGATATAATTTAAAAGAAATAAGCATGCTTTTAATTTTCTCATAAGCATTAATACAATTTATATTTGGTTTTTATTTGATTGAGAACAGAATCTTCCTGCCCCCCAACAACCTTAAGCTAGTGATAATAGCCAACTTTACTCCCTATTCTGAGATATATAGCATCTTACAAACTGGCTCACTCAACACTGCATTAATATTATTACACATATATCTAATTTCACCCATTAGCATCTTTAAATTGCTTTCTTTATGAAGGAGAAATGCTGCATTTTGAATACTAGTTTTCTCTGAACTTCCAAATACAGACTTTTATGCCTATTTCATACATTTCTTGAAATAGTTTTTCTAGTGTTTTGATTAGAATGTGGGCAAACAAGACTCTAGATTTACTATACAACATACTTTCTGATGACATTTCCTAGTTGGGTGATGAAACATCTACAAGCAAACAATCAAGCTTAGAAAGCATCCAGGACTCAATAGCATTTATTTTTCCTAGTTTCCAGTGGGCACTTTTAAGCTGTGGGGATACAGAAGAGGTAATTTAGTTTAGTTGGTAGCAAAATATGGTGAGATAATAAGTCTCTTGTCTCTTAAAAGATATAATACCAATTATACATGGGCTCTTCCAATTTTTCATTCCCTCATTTATTAAGCATGCATAATAAATTATTTGCTGGAAATTATTGATTCTCTACATTTAGTGGTAGACATTAAAGTCCTGTTTCATTCTTCAAGCATCAGTTTGATTCATTTATTCATATATGTCCTCTGCCATATCAACAAGTACCTTTTGGATCTAGATTTACTCTCCTGGAGTATGTGAGAAAATATTTCTGTATTCATTAACCTAGGGCAGAAATTTAGGTAACTGATCAACCTGAAATAAAAATAACTTATTCTGTATATATAATGGATTGGAATAATATACTCTTTTTGTTAATAAAGTTGTTTTATTAACTACTGTAAAATGATTGCAGAGAGAGAGATCCTGCAACCCATATTATTGTTCTGGGACTCTCAATCAAAGTCCCTAATAAGCAGATAGAATAAAAGCCTCATAGTCCAGTCAAAGTAACCTGTTTGCATCCTCCAAGGACAGGAATTATAGTGAGGTAGTTGCCTTAGACAGAAGGATGGCATAGTGTGGGAAGTAGTGGCAGCATACCTAGCTATTCTCTTGTGCATCCTTTTTCCTTATATATTCTTTAAACCAGGAGTGTCAAATACAAGGCCTGCAGGCCAGATCTGGCCCATGATATGGTCAGATCTGGCCCATAGGACTGCCTTGGAAAATGTAAGGGGCCAGTCCGGGTGGCTTTGGCCCAGTCTACCCAATGCAAAGAGGAAATATCGGGCCAGTGTGGCTTTATTACATTATGCAAAGCAGCTATATAATGACTGTAGAATTTATAACTTTAAATCAGTTTGTAATGGTAATGTGTTTTTTTATTTTCAGAATATGGCGGCCTAAATTTGGATTTTTCCTACATCACTGCAGTGGCAGAAGAACTTGGATTCATTCACTGTGGGGCTATTCCCATGGCTATTGGGGTACAGAGTAGTATGGCTACACCAGCTCTTGCAAGGTAAATTTGTGAAGAAAAGCTTGTTGGGTCTTCTCTTTTTTTTCCCCATTGAACCACAGAATTAAAGGCCATTCAGGACACCAAGTCCAATTTCTTATCTAGTTTGTGAGTTGTTTAGGTAATACTAATGCAAGGTTCCAGAAGTTTCCTTGAGCCATTGAGATGCCAAAGAGTGAGACTCGAGACAAGGCGTGCAAAAATAACAGCTTTTTAATTTTTTGGCCAAAGCAAAAAGTCTGGGTGAATACTATGTCCAAAACATACAGACAAAATGCATGTAAGGAATAGCCATACACTGCGAGAGTGGCTCAGAGTATTATATACATTTTACACTGATAGAAACAAAGTTTATCCAATCAGAGACAAAGGTTCATTATTAATGTGGGCAATGTCTTGCCCATGCCTTCCCCTTCTTTATCCATGGAGCATTCTTTGTCCGTGCTCTGTCCATACTTTATTATTTTACACAGTATCCCTTGTCCTTGTGTGTTCATGCTCCTGGGCAGCTCCCCCCCCCCTTATCTATGGAGCAAGATGTTCCTGGGAATTGTTTCCAAGGATGTGTCTAGCTCTGAAGCAAATCGCAGAGGTGAGAAACCAGATAGAAAAGGATACAATTCTCTTGCAGAATGAATTCCTAACAAATGATTCCCATCTTTAGCAAAATAGTACAAGAAACTTCTTTTACAGATGCAAAGAGCAAAGGTTAGATTAATTCATGTCAAAATGTCATTTCCTATTAATTTCCATAATCTTTGAAAAAGACAACAGAAGTGAAACAGTTTGAAATTTAGCTCTGCGCAGCAGTGATTTTTTAAAAGACAAGTCTACAGACTAATTTCATTATTCCACATTTGATCTAAGGATTGAAGTGTAACAAAGTTGTAATTTTGGAGGTGGTGCTTCTATGGGTGTTTATTATTTACTTACTTACTTGTATGTTTACTTACTTACTTACTTATGTTGCAATAAACTGCTGTAGTGTCAATTGAGAAGAAGTAGCATTCTATCCAAGGGAGGGATTCTACTGGTTCGGACTGGTTCTATCGAACCAGTTGGAACCATTATTGGCAGTTCAGAGAACTGGCAAATCATGCCCCTGGCTTGGCCCTCCCCTCTCCACCCATCCCTCCCCTCCCAGTCAGTCCTTATTACACACGCGCGATATCGGCACATACCTGACATCGCTGACTGCATTTTCCCCTGCCCAGTCACTCCTTAAGGTATTTATTTTTTCCCTCCCGACAATCAGCTGTTCTGACGATCAGCTTTTCTGGGTTCCCCTTCGCTGTCTTACTGCTTCAGGAAGAAGGCTTCCCCAAGGCAAACAAAATAAAAGGACCGTGGGGGGGATGTGAGAAGAAGAAGGAGAAGGAGAAGGAGAAGAAGAACCACCACCACCCAGTCAAATGGCCACGCCCACCTAGCCACGCCCACAGAACCGGTAGTAAAAATATTTGCATCCCACTCTGGTCCTATATTAGGACGAGCAGACAGAAGCACACACAGAGACAGAGATGGTTGCAAACTTTACCGATAAGTTAGTGACATAAATGAACAAGTGGCAAAAGAAACCTGACCACAAACAAATCGCCTAAAGTTGAGCAAACTTTTTTTTTTTTTAAAAAAAGAGCTCCTATCAAAAACCTGGGAAGAAAATACCTACCATCCATGTACTAAAATGGAAACAGCAAGGATATAAGGAGAGATGTACTTCATCAGATGAAAAGCTTATGTAGCTGAACATTCTGTGTCCAGCAAGGTTATGATAATCCACAAATAAATCATGAGTGCAGTGATCCTTTACCAATAATGTATTCTATGAAAGATCACCTGAGAACCTATGCACTTTTCTACTTTGGAATGAAGACATGATTCAGTGAAAGAACAGATGCTGTGCATTCAAAAGCTCTCAGTTCCATCTTTAGCATTTCCAGATAGGATACTCAGATATTCATGCCTAGTAGCTGACACTGCTTCATTACACAGGTTAATGAGCTTCTAACAGATTTGAACCTTTTTATTATTATGTTTGGTCTGCTTGGTAAAAGTGATACTTTAAAAACTGTACTTATAAACCAATGGATTGCTGGGATGTTCCAAATTTAGCTGCTCTGCTCTATAATATTTTTCCATGGAAATGTAGCTATGGGCCATTTTTTTCTGGTTTTGGTTTTACTGTTTATTACATACATACATACATACATACATACATACATACATACATACATACATACATACATATATATATATATATATATATATATATATATATATA